CAGTTATGTCGCGAAATGCTTTGAAATACATTTCGCGACGCTCATGCATTGAATTTCGAGGGCGCGGAAATGCATTTAAATACATATTTTCGCTACATGAATAACCCCATAAAAGTTACGGTAGTTGTCGTTATGAGCCCTTCGGCCACGGCCACCGGAATTTCTTTTCCACGACTCCAACTGTTTGTACCAGCTTAAAAACTAACATTGTTGATTAACAAAAAGAAACAACTTTCAATTCTTTTCTGTTTTCACAAGTTGACCTAATTCAACGCAATCAAAATAGTGAAATTCGGTCGTCATGGCTCGTTACTCATCTTACGTCACCTTTTCTCAGACAGAATTTCCTTCGTTAACCTTCTACAACATTTTTCAAAAGGGAAATCAAGTGATGTCTGAATAATTGTAATGCTCTTCCACGAGAAGTCCCATCATGGAATTGAAAACCGAATTATCAGTACTTTTTTATTTTTCAATTGTTCAGGATCCACCACATCGACTGGTTTTGTAAGGATTTCAACACCATTGGTTGTAGTCAAGATTTGGAACCGTGACATCTACGTCAGACTACCCGGGCTGGGTCCTGTGTCAAGTTATTATAAAGTAGTCCTGAAAGAATTATGATGATCTTATCTTAAAGTTCTTTGAGGAGTAGCTGGAAGTGCTTCAGATTCTCTTTTTGCTTAATCTTTTTTTTTCATTATCTTTATTTTCAACATGTTTCCATGTTAAAAAAAACAAATTTTTTGGAATTCCAAATTTGTAGTTTTCAGAATTAGGAACTTTGAAAGTACTAACACAATGTCCAGATGGTGCATAACCTCCGCTGGCCAACCGTAATCCTTATTTGCTCATTATAAAGGCATTTTCTAATAAATGCACATCGCATCAGTGGCAACATCGAAGAAAGGAGACGACGAGCGGTAGTAATCTGTCCGTGTAATACAAAAAATACACATACAACAATTCGATACAAACATAGATGTAGATACTCTTCATCAAATGAAAGAAAAAGAAAAAGGAGAAACCTAGTTTCTTCCTTTTACTCAAATCTATTTTCTCTGTAATTACATCAAAAATGACCTCCCAGAAGCCGTGAAGATGAGCAGTCAATTTGGAGAGGGAAATCCTTTTAGTTCCAAATTATTTTTATGAGCTACATAGAGTGGCTCATTTTCTTTTTTTTTCTCAGAAACTACAATCTTTTTTTCCAATTGAAGGCGTTAGAGTCCACTTGCGTTTTCTTTTTCGTCAGGAGATTTCAAAATTCGTACTTACCGTATTTTCTCTAATAGAAGCTCCACTCAAACCATCAACTTTGAGGTCAATTATTTCGAATCCTGTGAAAGATATAAAAGAATAATCAACTGTTAATTGACAAGTTGTTGAAATCTTTCACAGGTATCGAGATAAGTAAGCTCGAAGTTGACGGTTTCAGTGGGCTTCTATTATAGGAAATACGGTTAGAATTTCCGATCGAAAACATTTTGTGAAATCAGACATTGGTCGAATCTGAATTTTTTGCCTTGAGTGAACGAAGAGCTTTAGAAACCCTCTCACAAATTCTGAATTCTAGCTGAGAAGCTCCTAGATACTCCATGCATACCCATCCGAACCGCCCATTCCGAAAAGTACAATTCCATCCCTCTGACCTTTTCCTTTACAGTTCGTTGAAAAAATCTCAGGTTACCTGTGTCAATTGAAAGGAATCTGCGGAGCTCATTGCTTCCGTGTGCATCTCTTTCTTCGTTTTCCAAACAGACAGTACATCTTGTTCTTCATTTTGTCCCTCTCCCTAGCTTCTTCTTATTCTACAGCTTGTTCACACACACAAGTACATACGTACACAAAAATAAATACCCGGAGTGGATTGTTGCGCATCCATCCCCCACTCCAAATTGTATTGTCTCAATTTTCACCTTTTTACCCACTTTCAAAAAACTATCTATTGATTTTTTTTTTCATCGAAACCGTTTTCAGCACATCTAGAAACATCGAGTCGAAACTCCAGCGATGTCGTCGCAAGTTGGAGCGATCAACTCGGTGAATGCGCTCATTTCGAGGGTATTCGTTCAGCCCAAAGGTGATTTGGTGAGTTGTTTTTTTGACGATCTGGTTGAATTACAGTAATCCGAAACACAAAGCGGTTTAATACACAAAGAAGAACACATGAGTTCTGGAGGAACCCAAAATCATTCTGATCTATTTGTTGAACGAAATTTCATGCTCCTTCATGTTTGGGCTTAACTAACTCGATTTCTGTCAAAGATATTAAAGTTTTGTAAACTAATAAATTACTTATCATAATGTAAAAAATTTTTCATCAGTTGGCAATATTTTGATATCTTTCACAGGAATCGAAATAATTAAGCTCAAAGTTGATGGTTTGGGTCGGCTTCTATTAGAGAAGATACGGTAATTGTTTTTATAATAAATTTTAAAAATATTTCCTGACATGCATCAAATTTGTTTTTTCTAACTTGATCTTTTTTGTACATAATAATTCTGAATTTGGTCAAAAAATAGTTCAATTTTAGGCAGACCGTCTCAACTCCAGAATCACAGTAGTAATTCTTGCTGTATCCTCTGGACTTCTCCTCTCTTCACACTTTATTGGAGACCCGATCACCTGTTGGACACCAGCTCAATTCACAAAACAATGGTATTAAAATAACTAACTAATTTTAAAAAATTTAAATAATTCCAGGGCCGATTTTGTGAATCAATATTGTTTCGTCCATGGCACATATTTTGTTCCTCTCGACGAGCAACTTTCATTTGATGAGGGAGAAAGGTTGAGGAAAAAAGATCGAAATGAAAATTTTTTAAGAATTTCAGAAGAAAAGACACAATCCAGTACTATCAGTGGGTGCCATATGTGTTTGCTCTTCAGGCCTTTTTATTCTACATTCCAAGATTTGTATGGAAAGCATTGATTTCCTATAGTGGTCAGTATTGAAACCAATTGTTATTATTAACCAAAAGTGTATTTTTCAGGTTACGATCTGGCTGCTGCTGTCAAGTACGTGGATCGTTTCTGGTCTTCGATTCGGGATCAAGACAGCACTTTCAAATCTCGTCTAGCTGTTTTCGAAGGACGTCCATCTGTATATATTTGGGATGGAATACGATTGGCTCGAAAGAAAAGAAGCAAGAATATGGCTCTGTTCTATACTCTTTCTACTGTTTGGCAAGCAATCAATGCCTGGATTCAATTTTATATTCTCACTAAACTTCTCGATTCACCTTTATATTCTGCCTGGGGGCCATCTATTCTTGGAGATTTGATTCAAGGAAATGATTGGCAGACTACTGGACACTTTCCAAGAGTTGTTCATTGCGATTTTAATACAAGACGACCGGCCAGTGTTCAGGTATGTCTAGAGTAAGAAGATTCAAAAAAACTCAAAGCAGGCTTTCAAAAATCGACTATTATCCTGTGATCTAAAACATTTTCTTGTCTTGAATTCAACTAATTACTAACTCGGTTTATCCTTCATCTCCCAATTACTACAAATGTATGTCCCTGTTATATCTCCTAGTTTCATAGACATTTCACGTGTTAGTGGTTTTCTCCCCTTCGTTGAAATAAATAAATAAAATGAAAAAAAATGGTGCAATTTAAGTAATAGTGCTATTTAGGAAGTGCTACTACCGTGAAACCTGTAATAGACGGGATCCCTAACTTTCAACTTTGAGCCAATTTTTTTCGGTTCTTGTCAAAGATATTCAAACATTCTCCACTGATAAACTGTTTATTATAATCTCAGAAAAAATTCATCAGTTGACACATTTTTTATATCTTATATGGGAATGAAGATAATTGAGCTCAAACATGACAGTTTGGGGGCCACCGGGTTTCCAAGAAACGGATCAAAAAAGGCACCCCAGCGAACTCGTAGGCTAGGAGAAGTTTCAATTTTCGAATTTAAATAGTTTTTGAATGGAATCAGTTTGTGGTTCAACCGTTTGATACTCAGCCAACGAAATTCGATAGTAAATTTAGAATATTTTTGAGATTTGCTGGGGCGCCTTTTCTGACCCACTCTTTGGGAACCCAGTGGGGCCCTTCTATTTCATGTTTTACGGTATGTGTTTGAGAAGCAATTCAAACGATTTTTTTTCAGCTGGACACTGTACTTTGTGTTCTTACTCTGAATATCTACTACGAGAAACTTTTCATCTTTCTCTGGTTTTGGCTTGTTTTCGTGGCAATCGTCTCCACCATCAACTCCATGAGATGGATCTATTATTTGTGCAACACTAGCAAAGTAAAAAAAAAACCACAAGTTTCATAAAATTTTGAATGATTCAGGCTCAAAAAACAATTCGCAACTATCTTGCAACTGCTCCAGTCAAATCTCCAATCAGTGATGAGCAATTCTTCGATGCTCTGGGTCCAGACGGTCTCTTCATTATGGATCAGATGGCTCTCAATTTGGGAGATATTCCAGCTAGGTTAGTGATTTAAATATTGCCAATCTCTATTTTCAAATTCTCTATTTTCAGTTATTTGACAATTTCAATGCGTAACATTTGTCAAGATTTCATCGAAGTATGTGACGACTACATCGACGACGAACGTGCTCCATTTGTGAAAACAATCAAACAAAAATAACTCCCACTACTAGACTATTTTTTATACCTTAACCCAACCGAAAATAAGACAAAGAAAACAAAAGAAAACCGATGATTGCTCCCTGAAAAAAGTTTTAAAGTTTTGTGCCTTTCATTTTACGAACTCTCTCTGCTTTTTTGTTCAATAAACTGTGCCATTTTTAAATAACGTTTGTTTTTTTTTCAGCGAATAATTATAGAAAGATTTTCAGAGAAAGTTGTGTATCTGCAAAGACATTCAGAGAACCATACTTGTAAACTGGGCCGTAGCGGCTCTTTGTGTGCCCTGCCATAGTTTCTTTTAGTATCAATATTTTTGGACCAACTAAGTTTGATATACCGTAAAACCTCTAATAGAACGACACCCGGATCGTCCACTTTGAGCCTATATATCTCATTTTCTGTGAAAGATATCAAAAAGTGGCTAACTAGTAAAATGTTGCTGATATCCTGATAAACATTTACTAGTTAACCACTTTTTGA